AGAGGCCGGCGTTGTTGTGGCCGCAGCCGATGGTGACGCCCGAGATGGAGGCGCCGGATGGGATGAAGGATATCGTCTCGGTGGCGAGGCTGCCGACGGTGTAGGAGCCGTCGCCATAGTTAACCTGAATCAGAGGGTTGATAGTTTAAAATATATTTTATTTGTGTTCGAACTTTTGTTTCAAAATTGATTTTGTGTTGAAAACTGTTTTTCGCATTAAATTTTGGTGTTGAACACACCAAAATTTTGGTGTTGAAAATTATTCTTCGCATTAAGTTTTTTTTTCGGACACATTTGCTAATTTTCTCTATTTTATTTAGTTTTGTCTCTATTTACTATGTTTTCATGCATTTTTTGCTTGAACTTTTGTTTCAAAACTTGATTGTTGTGATGAAAATATGTTCACATTAAATGTTGGTGTTGTGTGTGAAAGTATGTCTTTTCGACACATTTACTAATGTTTTCTATTTTCTTTAATTTTGATACATCCCCTATATATTAATACAGAATGCGCTGAGTCTACGTGGCTGCTTCTGGTGCTTCGAAATTCTATGTGGCAAAATTACATGCTTTGTTATTAGGCTTGGGTAAATTATAATTTAATTCCAAACAAAAAATAATTAGGTTCGGATTACTATAAATATGTTAATTATTTATGGGCATGTTACATGTATTATTTGTATTTTAATATCATTCCTTATTATAACTATTGAATTGTATATATATTTTAAAAGTTAATAACTTTTGTATTTTTTATCAGTTTTACATATGTAATATATCAAATTAATCTTATTTTGATAAGCTTCGATTTAACATCCATATTGTATGTATAGAAAAAATAATTTATATTTATCTTTATAACAATAATAAAATTATTTTTAGAAAAAAAAATTATTTATCAACTAATATATTTATATTTCAAGTAGTTATATGATATAAGTTATAAAAACTAATATAATATAACACATGTAAGTCATAAGTAACACATATCATTCTAAAATATATAGTAATATATATTTTTTTTTGTAAAAAAGTAAACTAAATTTAATATAATTTTCTCATTAATTTTAAAATTTAAGAATAATTTTTTAACAAACACCCGTGTAATACACGGGTATTGTACTAGTATATACTATTTTTCATGCATTTTTCGCGTTGAACTTTTCTTTCAAAACTAGTATTTTTTATGATAAAAAATATATTTTCCACATTAAATGTTCGTGTTTTGTGCAAAACCAAAATAATCGAATATTTCAGGTAAAATTATTGTCCCATTTTTTCTTTAAAAAAAAAAAAAGATTGATTTTTGAAATAATGTTAATAAAAATATACTTTAAGTTGGGGGTATAACAAACATCCAATTAATCAACTAACTTTAAATTTTTATTTCCATACCTAAATACTTATTTATTGAAAAAAAAAAATCGAAAGTTGACCTGGTAGCGACACTTGTTAAGCCGGCAGGCGGACCTCACTAGGGCATTGCACTCGCCGGAGTTGCACGGGAGGTCTTTGTACGTGGTGGAGGCCAACGGGTCGTATATCGGGTCCGACTGATTGTAACAGTCGATGCACGGTCTACACTGGGTCCAACTGACATCACTGCCTGTGTCGGCAATTAGGTACATGTCTCGGGCGGGCCGACCCATTCCGATTCGTGCAAAGTACTCGCCGCTTCCCTAGTGAAGCTCGGAGATGAGCGGCGACCCGAGCTGGGCCACCCGGAGGTAACCGGGCTCGCCCCGTGAGTGCACGGATTGGACTCGGGCCTTGTCCCGGGCCAGTCGTGCCAGTGTGAGGTGAGTGTAGTTGTTGTAATAATCGTAATCATCGTTGTTATTGTTGTTGTTTTGTGGTAAGGATGAGCGCGGGTGGAGGCTGAGGGAGAGGATTGAAGACGAAGAGTTTCGAGCCGATTGATGGCTTTCTACAACGGCACTGGCTCGGAGGCTCGAAGAAGGCCCGGAGAAAACCTGACGGGCCTGTTGTAATGAGCCCGAGACGTCGAGAAGTTGGAATTCCAATTGCTGATCATGTGAAGAAGAAGAAGAAAAAGAAGTGAGTGATAACATGAGAAAGGAATATGTTAAAAGGGTTTTTTGGGCTCGGGCCATTGGTGGGCTTTTTTTAAAAAAAAATTATATTTATTTTTTGGGTTGGGTTGAAGAAATTGGATGGCAAATATGGTGAATAAATAGTGATAAGATGGTTGAGGTGTTTGATAAATGAGGGGTGGGATTGCATTAAAAGCAAGGAGAGTATAGCTACTAAGTTATGATGAATGTACAAATCAGATGCATAAATATCAAGGAAATGCTATGGTCCCGTTACGAAACCATTCCATCGGAGTTTGTACCCGTTATATATCATGTAACTATCGAGGATAGTTAATCTAACGGTTATAAACCCCGACGGAGTGATTCCGTAACGGGATCGCAACATCTCTCAATAATAATTAGTCCGTTACAGTCACTCCAATTGAATACACAATTAGGAGTTAGACGAGTCTAAAGAGTTGACATGGAGTTAGACCAGTCTAAAGAGTTAGACATTTAGTTTATAGCTTACTCTATCATCATCAATATAATCCTTCATTAATGTATTTCATAATATTTAAGAGCCTCAATTTTAGCCCGTAGCTAGGACAAGTTAGACTTGGCCTAATCCTAATTGTTCAATGAGAAAATTTACTTGTTGCATATAAGATTTTTCTTTTATCTTTAATTTTATTTTTAATTTAGATGTAGTCTGTCAAATTATGGCGATTCTAGCAAAGATAGATGCATATGAACATAGTACTAAATTACTAATTAGATGCCGGCCACTTGAAGCGGCCACCAAAGTAGCGTTTTGACCACACATTTGACCAATAGCTATTAGAGCTGCTAAACGAAATGAATCGCTCGTGAGTTCTGGTCGACTCGAAAAATGACTTTTCATACAACTCTTTGCAGTTCGACTCGTTAAAGTTTGGGATCGACTCATTTAAACTCGAGCTCGGCTCATTTATTATATTTATATATAAATATAATAAATATATTGTCATGTTCTCTTTTCCATATTAAGCTCCTTTATCACTCCCATAATAATTCCAACTCCTTTTATTTACACATTGCCTTGCGAAAAACTCTATTCCTTGTGACTGAAGCATAGTCGGGTCATCCTAAGATCCTAACTCGACCAGGTCATCCGAAGATCCTAACTCGACCTATACGTTAATGACCTTTAAGTCGAGCATTGTCAGATCATACTCAAAACTCAAACGTAGCTCTAATCCTATATTCCAACATAATCCCTCTACCTCGTACACCAAAATATGAAATCACACATGATTCAAAGTAATAAAGATTGCCAAAAGAAGATTGCACAAAAGAAGATTGCACAAGCAAGGATTTAGATATTTTGCTCTATTTTCATGTTTCATTTCGTGTTCTATACTCCGTTGGATGAATGACACATGTACGAATATGACATCGTCATATACACGTGTCATTAATTCAACGGAGTGGAACACGAAATTGGAGTAGAAATCCCATAGCGGGCCATTTTTCAAGTTACACAACATACTTTACATAACTTTTTTTTTTTTGCGCTTACACACTAAAACCCCACATTTTTTCACCTCATTATCATTTCAACCTCCCCACCCACTCCCTCGTAAGAAAAAGTAAAGAGAGCAGCAGAGAGACATTTTACACTTGAATTACACTGAGATCCCCCACAATTCCTCCTAATTACACCCTTCTCCCTCACCCTTCCTCCTCATCCTCATCGACTTCAGCTGCCGGGACTCCCCCAACGTGGGCCCCACCACCAACATCAGCCTCGACATGACATAAGCCAGCAGCTCCTCCCTGTGCGAAAACGTGAAGTCGAGATGCGCGTACTCGAACTCGCGGTACGAGACCTCCACGCGCGCCTCCTTCATCACCCGATAATGCTGCCTCACCATAGATGGCCTTATCACACGATCCTTCCTCCCGGCCACCAAATCGACCGGCACGTCCACAAACCCGTAATACTCCCCGACATCCAACGGGCCGGGCTCCCCGTACACCTCCAAGTTTGGGCCCGGCCCGCCATAATCGAACATCACAAACCGCCTGGCCCGTTTCATCTGGGCCAAGTGGAGCGCGACCCGGAACGAAACCCCCGGCATGTCGTTCATGTTGTAGTGCGGGAGCCCGAGGACCCCGACCCAGTTGGAACTGTCCCCTCCGACCACGTAGCCCATTAAGGTCTGGACAAGCCCACCAACGGCGGGAAGGTTGTGGAAGTCGCGGGCCAGCTTGTTGAGAAGCATCCGGAAGAAACGGGTCGGGATGTAGAAGGCGGGCACGAACGGGGCCACGAGCGGAGCAGCGAGGAGGAAGAGGCGCTCGACGAGGGTAAAAACGGGGCCCGAGTCGCCGTGGAAGCCCGCGGGGGAGAGGAGGACGAGGCGGGAGAGGCGGTGGGGCCGCTCCAAAATGCGTTGGGTCACGACATATATGAGGGCCGCGGCCCCGCCGAGGCTGTGGCAGATGGCGCAGAGTTTGTAGGGCTCCGGGCCCAGATCGCGGGCCGGGCCCAGCTCGGAGGTTTTGATCTCGTGCATCTTGTCGATCATTGCGGGGATGTCCTCCGTGCCGTGCTCGTTGATCGAGTAGTTCCAGTATCTGCATTTAGTTAGAGTTAAGAGTGTGTATTTGGTAAGCACTATAAGCTAGCTAACTAACTTATTTAATTAGCTTGTAAGATTACTGTATTCAAATACGCTTGGTTTGAAAGGACGAGCTTTTTTGAAAAGTTGGAGCTTATCTCATAAGTTTCCTTAAGTAGCTTTTCAGAAAGCTCGTTAACGTTTTTTATTTCAAATGGCTTATCAACTAATTTTTTTCAAATACTTCTATAGCCATAAGCTATCAGCTATAAGCTCGAAATTCACTTATAAGTTCAGTTAGCTTTACGGCTGGTTTTACCAAACATAGCGCCTTATATAAGAACTTAATGTGCAAATCTAATAATAAAGATATAACAAAAACAATTTCTTGATCAAATAGAAGAGAGTAGTTTGAGCAGATATGTTTACCAAGCAACTCTACTAGATACTTGCTAACATAGCTTTTACCAAAGAAAACTAACATAATGGATCATCATTTCACTTAATCTTAGTCTTCTTAGCATATATGAAACTAACGAATACTGCTAATGGGCTACTTGTCGAGTGTTTTTAATATGTCGTTTGTTAACTTGAACTCTGGGAAGTTAAGTTGTCTATCACCCACAATTTCTAGATGTAGAAATAAAGTCATCTCGAGCATTTTTATGAAAATTTAGACACTTACTGACGTGATGATATATTTTTGTCGACGTGTTCCCTTGAGACCAAGCCACGGAAGTTCCCAAGGAAAACATCATACCCTGAAAATGGGAGGAAGAATTTATTTTTTTTTTAAAAAAAAAAAAAAACAATTGAGTTTATACCACACGGCCAATTTGGATCACGTATAACTGTATAAGTAACAAGGAGTGAGAGTGTGAAGTGTGAACCTTGATCAAAGGCGGCAAAAGCTGGAGAACCAACAACTCCATTGGATACCCAACTGTAAAATGGAATGTACTTTAACTAGACGAGTGTGATGAATTAAAGTAATAATAATAAACCAAAAAGCAGATGAAAACAGGATCTTCAAGTATTCTTGTTGAAAATTGAACAGAGTCAGCTGCAATGTACTGGATTATTCAATTTCCACCTTCATTTCTATCTTAGGAAATGTTCGGGTTTCTTTTTTGGGCATGTCTATTGGAAAACATCTATGAGGATAATCTAAGAATGGACATATATCCAAAATGTGATGTATGAATGAGCAAATACATTCAAGAATGTTCACATATGGTAGGGGATGACAATCGACAATAAAAGGTCATTGGACAAGTTATATAAAAATGCACCATGTGATAGAATCCAACAAAGGATTATTTAAAAATGCATCAAAATTAGAAAGAAGTATCACGTTACTAATGAAAGTGGTCAAAGATGACTTACCCCATAGACGAGTCTAATATTCCGTGCTGCAGATAAACAACTTTTCGTGACTCTCTTCTGTAAACAACACACAAACAGCAATGAGAATCAATTATAGACCATCATTTAAGAAATTGTTCTGCATCATAAAAGGTTCAACAAACGGATTAAGCCAAAAGAGAACTAACTAGCAGCACAAACCTTGGGATCCTTTCTAGATGAAGTACATAACCATCGGATGTAATCACTCGTATAGCTTCATATGGGTACCTAAAACATAATCAAGAGTAAATACTTTCTCTAATAAAGTCATACACAGAGATTTATGCATAAATGAGCAAATAACTCGATTACTAGCTTGAAGGTTCCTGTTGATATTTAAGAAACAAACTCCTCAAGTATTATTACAGTTTTTGAA